GGTTTAATTTTGTGAGATTGTGAAACGTAATTCTAGCTATTCATTTTATAGATAAAAAAATATTAATAATTGAAAATTTTCGAAAAAAAAAATTCAAATATTATTTCAATCATTTATATTTTCTAATAAAGAAAATTAAAAAAAAACACCAAAAATAATATATTTTTTGTATATTCTAATAAAATATTAGAATATTTTACATATCTGATAAATCTAATAGAATATTTTAAAATTTTAAAAAACACATTAAAATATTTACAGTTCATGTGTTTTTCAAAATATGGTAAATTTATTTATTTATTTATTTATTTTAATTTATTAATTTATTTATTTTTATATTTATTTTAAAATAATTTTTAATCTCACGGTCTTATAAAATGGACAGTCTCAAATGAACTTGAATATATATATATATATATATATATATATATATATATATATATATATATATATATATATATATATATATATATATAGAATTAGGTTATTTTATTTTACTAACTATTATGTGTCAGAATATACAAATCTGGATCAATGGGTGGAATTAATAAATTGACATGATTTGAGGGTGTATGCTATTACAATGGGATAACATTACCATATAATCACACAAATTTTAGCAAAAGGGTATTGTGAACAATTAGCTAAATTTATAGAAGGACGTTTTCGGATTTTTAGGGATGATTAATTATCCTAATTTTAAAAATCTAAAATTTTTTAATTAATTCAATTTTAATTTTAACGTAATTTGTATACATTTATTCTGTCAGAATATTTTTTTTTGTTAGAAAGATGTTCTTTCAGAATTTTATTCTAGGGTAAATTACACGGATGGTCCCTGTGGTTTGGGGTAACCTGCGCGCCTAGTCCCTGAGCAAGATTTTTAACTCGGATGATCCGTAATGGTAAAATTCATAACCATCCTGGTCCCTCACTTAACATCCCGTCTAATTGCTCCGTTAAAACACCCCACGTGCAAGGCACGCAGGGGTATTTTTGTCTTTTTAAGTCACCCTGTCTTCTTTAAACATGGTTTATTTGTCTTCTTCCCCCATTTCTTTCTCAATCGCAGTCTTCTCCTCCCACCTTTCTTCTCACAGCCGATCAAACATGGTGAAATGCAATTGTGGTGCGATAGGCGTTATACGTACTTCAACTACGAAAAGAAACCCAGGTAGGGCATTTTATGCTTGCCCATTAGAGGTACGATGCTGGAATTGTTTTGGGGGATTTTCTATTGTAACCCTAGTATGCGTATGTGCTAATCGAAGCTATTCACAGTACAGGGACCAAGGTCTGGCTTTATTAAGTGGGTAGATGAAGAAAAGCATGGTCATGAGGCGGAAATAAAAAATGAGGGGCTTGAAATCCAAATTCAAGAACTTGAGGTCCAAAATCGGAATCTGAAGGCATTGTTAATAATCAGTTGGTTTTTGTTTTTTGGGATAGTTGTTTACAAGTTGTAGTGTTAGTTTTAAGATCATCAGAAGTAGTTGTAGTTGTTTACAATGCTTTTGTAATGAAACTTATTTGTATCAAGGGTACCCTTTTATCAATGAAAATGATATTTTGTTGAACTTGATTGTATTTTACAATTTGTGATGTATCTTGGGACATTGGTTAAACTACATTGCTAAAAGAAATCAAAAGATTACATTGACAAAAGCAGATGACCCAAATAAAAGCAAAACATATGACCAAAATAAAAGCAATGCCAAAAGCAGATGACCAAAATAAGCAAAACAGATGACCAAAATAAAAGCAATCAAAAGATTACATTGTTTGTCAAAGGCAAAGTACATTGCTAAAACTGGATACTATAATTACACCATTGTTTTTCAAAAGCAATTAACATAACCATCACAACACATAAATTAGTTCAAAAGAAGACAATGTTTGTCAACATCAACCAAAACAATACATAAGCACCTAAAAGCCACATTTATGGGACACCTTTCCCTTTTTTGCTAACACTTGCCCTCACTTTTGCACTTCCATCCTTCACTTTCGCACTTCCAGCACCACTATCATTCCTTGAAGTTTGTGATCCACCAGCCTTCACTTTTTCACTTCCAACCTTCACTTTTTCACTACCAGCACCACCAACAATCTTTGAAGTTTGTGATCCACCAACATTCCTTGAACTTTGAGAACCACCAGCCTTCTGTCCCTTGCAAGTCCTTGCATTATGCCCACTTTTGTTACACTTAGAACATGTCACTGATTTTTGTGCTCTTGACAATTGGTTACCTTTCACCAAATCCTCAACCTCCATGGCAGATCTCCTTCTCTTTTTCTTTGGTCTTCCAATGGGCACATGGTGTTTTGGAGGGAGTAAGGTTGTAGGGCATGTAGACTTCTCCCACATGTTCCTTCCATTGATTGGGTGAATTGTAAAAGAATACATATTCTTCCATGTTTCTAACCAATACGTTCGATGGACCCAATGTTCAGGTATCTTATCAATTTCTTTGTTCTTCAACATCTCCCACATACATGCTATTGCATGTGCACATGGTATCCCTATTAGTTCCCACCTTCTACATGAACATGTTTGTTGGCCCATATCTACCACAAACTGTTCCAAAAGATTTTTACTGACTTGATATTTCCCATTCCCACAAAAAACAGACCTTAATTGTGAAGCCTCTTTCTTCAGTTTTTCAACCCATATGGTAGCTGTAGGAGTCAAGGGACCTACAGCTTTATCAATTTCCTTTTGCACAGTTACAATTTTCTTCACTAAGTACTCTCTAATGTACTCCAAACATGTAATGATTGGTACATCACGACCTTCAACAATCTTGCTATTTAGAGATTCACACATATTGTTAAGCATAGCATCTGTATGAGCTCTACCTAATAAATCATTAAAATATGTATGAGCTATTTAGAGTTTCACACATATTGCACAGCTACAAACTAATGATCTAACATTAAAATCTACCTGTAAAGTGTGAACGAGACCAATGTTGAGGAGGAATGTTTTTAAGCCACTCATACGCATCATTATTAAGTTTTCTAAGTTCCTCCATTGATCGTTGAAACTGTTGAATAGTAGATGCTTTTGCACAATCCCATAGCAAGTCTTTGAATTGCTTTGCCCTCCAATTAGCTTTCATGTTTTCATGGATATGACGAAGACAATAACGATGCTCAGCGCATGGAAACAACTTTGTTATAGCAGGTAACACTCCCTATATAATGGAAAATTGTATTAAAAGTATATCATATATAATGTATTAATTTGATATTCGAATTAATACCTTTTGTCTGTCTGTCATAAACGTAAAATTTGAGTTTGTTCCTAAACCCAAATCATCCCCTAGACAAGTTAGAAACCAAGTCCATGAGTTGGTACTCTCAGATTCCACAACAGCATAAGCCAGTGGATATGTTCCATTATTACCATCAATTCCCTACATAAGTAAAAAATTTACAATTAAAGCACCATCAATAACCTAAAATACAACTTTTTATAATATAAATGTAGTTCATATGAAAAAAGGTTACCACAGCTGAAAGTATTTGTCCTGGGTATGGACCCTTCATAAAAGCACCATCGAGACCAAGAAAGTCTCTTCTTCCAGCAGCAAATCCCTTTTTTAAAGGACCAAGACAGATGTATATGCGCTTGAAAGTTCTAGTTTCTGAATTTGGATTTGGTTCACGCTCTACATCAATCTTTACAGTCGTGTCTGGGTTATGTTTTTGAAGTTCTTGAACATAGTCTCTCAATAGAGCATACTGACCTCGATAATCCCCTCGCACCTGATTGAGAGCTTCAGTTCTAGCCCTAAACACTTTCATCTTGGAAAGTCCCACTTGGTAATCACGTTGCAGTTGTTCTTGTAAAGCACGAATTGGAATAGTTGGGTTAGATTCCACCTGAGTTGTAATCTTTTTGGCAAGAAACTTATAAGTACACGCTTTAACATTCCGAGTTTGGAGACAACGATGTTCTTTGTTGTAAGACTTGACCATCCAGTTTGTATCACGTTTCCATTTACTAGCGTAGAGGCTCCACGGGCACTTCTCTTCATCTTCATTGTTGACTTCTTGTTGACCTTCCCCACTTTTGTCTAAGTTTCCCAGTTTTGGTATTGTCCCCCTACACACAACTCTTACCCTATTCTTGTCATTTTTTTCAAAACCAAGTTCCCTTCTTGTCTCAATAGCATGGACTTTAACTCTTTCTTTAAACTCTTGGGCTGTATTAAAGGTTTGAAGGATATAAAATGGTTCAGCAACATTTGCTTCATCATTCTCATGAGCTCGTTGGATAGCTTTGATGGTCTTCTTTCGTTGACCAACTGGACCTTCATCCGAAGATGATCCTGACAAAAGTACCTCGTTATTTAGTACTTCATTAAGCTCTCCAACTTCATTCTCTTCTTGTACCACATTGTCATTCATACCTCCAACCCACTCTGCATCCATATCAATGTTATCATTGAAATCATTCATGTCAACTTCTACATCATCTAAGATGTTGTCATTGTCAACATAAAAGTCTATATCATCGGACTCACTAGATTTATAACCACTATCATCGTCAAAGTTGTCCCCACTTCCAAATTCTTCTTCGTTTATGTCCTCAAACATCTCCCCACTTTCAAATTCAGACCATGGATCTTCTCCACCCTTGTTACCATCCCTAAATTCAACTTCATTCGTGTGCTCAAATTTGTCCCCAATTTCAACTTCAACGCATGGATTTCCTTTCTTGTTATTATCCCCATTATCAGTTATGTCCATATTGTCATCTCCAGTGACGTCCATTACATTAGCCTCTTTAGAAGCATCCCCAACAACATTTGTCTCCCCAGTATCATACCAATCTAAGAAAAGCCTACGAGAACATGATGGAGGTTCAATAATTTCCTTTATTTGAACTTTTGCTTGATTTGGGGACATTGTGTACGTATGTAATTGGGTTTTTCCATGCTCAATATAGACTTCAATCAACTTATGCTTGGAAATGAAGGTACCCAGATGTCTCACATCCTGATCACTACCCAAAGCAAATAACCCGAAATCTAAATCTGAAAAAGGTCGTTTAAAGTGATAGTACAAAGGTATACCTTCATCAACATAACCTAACTGTTCCATCATTTCATCAATGTCATGCACTGAGAAAGTATCCATGTCGAGTAAGTCTATATACGTTTGTTTTCCTTTGATGTACTTTCTTCCAGGAAATTTGGTGAACTCTCCACCATGGTATAACCTAATGGAAAAGATTGTCGGATGCCCCCTGTGAAATAGCCCACTTCAGATAAGGCTTCAACAAAATCCAAGTTATAGAAGATTGAGAGTGAGAGAATACTTACAGTAACGACGTCCAACATCGATTTCCTCCATATTTGCACGTATACGCCACAGCACCATTGCGTTTTAGAGGAGAAGATATCACGATTAGGGTTTTCTTATCGGAATGTTGAAATTTTTCTGGGTTTTCTGAATGAAAAGATGGAGTACAGAGAAAAATGATCGCCTCTTCGTATACAACATGGCGGTAACACTAGAATATTAAAAAGACAAAAATACCCCTGCGTGCCTTGCACGTGGGGTGTTTTAACGGAGCAATTAGACGGGATGTTAAGTGAGGGACCAGGATGGTTATGAATTTTACCATTACGGATCATCCGAGTTAAAAATCTTGCTCAGGGACTAGGCGCGCAGGTTACCCCAAACCACAGGGACCATCCGTATAATTTACCCTTTATTCTATTAGAATATTATTGAAGAATAACAATATTTTTGAATCCGAGGTTGAAAAATAACAACATTCTAATATATTCTTATACATCCGAACTTAAATACAAATTCATACATATTCTTACAGATTAAAAATCTTATACCTTTTAATATAATTATACATATTCTAAAAGAATATTAATAAAAATGAATAAAATTCTTAAAAATTATCATCATTCTAAAATTGTGAATATGATCAAACATTATTCATTTTTCAAGTCATTCATATTAGGTCTTCAACGCAATGATAGCAACTAATGCATCCATATTCATCTTGTCAAACAGTTATTGAACAAATGCACTTAATCTTCTTTAATGGTCCAAAGAATCGGTTTGATTCCAACTATTTTTACGAAAGTGTGATGTATTATCGTAAGAATGTAATTCTTGACCCATTCTTCCAACCATTCTTATCACAAATGAAACAAAAACTAAGAATGGTTAAAAGCATGTTACTTGTAATCCCTATCACTTAATATATTCTGGAAGAATACATAAAATATAATAGAATACATAGAGTACATTCTGGCAGAATACATAGAATAAATTCTAACAGAATACATAGATTACAAACAACTATTTTCTTATTCGAGTAACATACTAATCAACTCACATGTTCAAAATCCACTGAAGCAAAATTCACTTTGCCAAAACTCAATCAAACAATATTGAATTGCGTAGGAACAATAAATGCAAAATCTATCTAATCTAATTTAATACCAACAATAAAAGAGCAGTGAAACAGGATTGAAGAAATCGAATGTAATTCCAAACTTAATCTAAATCAACTAGCATCAACCTATTGTTACGAAAAGGGCATCCAACTCAATCTAAATTAAGTTATATATTTATGAAAAGAATAAGGAACAAAACGAAGTAAAAAAATTAAATATTATTAACTATTATTTTATTGAGGCATTTTATTGAACACATGAAGGCCATGGCAGAATCATATTAGGCAAATCAGACAGCTACTGGAGATGGGATATCTAATCCAGACCACTGCTCTGTAACAGAAAAAAGAAGACAAAAAGAATTTCAAATCGTACAAGATTATGTATATAACCCAATGAAAATCATGATAAAAATTTCATGTTTCTATCATGTCATTGTCATAGCCATGGACACAAATCAAAGGTGACAAAAACTATCTAATTAAATTGTTATTTCTCATGTTCGTCATTGATTCATGACAATCAGATTTGTTCTGAGATTCGAGTTAGAATTTGTGAAGGAAGAAACTGATGTTTTGACGTTCTTTATGGAGTATAAAAAACCCTAACATTCAAATAGACACAAATCAAAGTGACGAAAACTATCTAATTAAATTGTTATTTCTCATGTTCGTCATTGATTCATGACAATCAACTTTGTTCTGAGATTCGAGTTATAATTTGTGAAGGAAGAAACTGATGTTTTGACATTCTTTATGGAGTAAAAAAAAACCCTAACATTCAAATAATTGTTAGATTACTTGTAACATCCAAAAATTTACAACCAATTTTGACTTGTCAAAAACAACTCATATTCATTAAGTTATTACAAAAAGGTTTTCAATTCATTTATTATCAGAGTATTTCCCAGAACCACATCATAAATACATAAAACATGAGAAGCGGTACGATCACGCCTTCGCCTTGCCACGATCTCCTGAAATACCTGAAACAATACACTGAAAACTGTAAGCCTGAAAGCTTAGTGAGTTACCCCCAAAATACCAACCACATATACCATACTCATAACATATCATATCATAAACAGAATAGCCATGCACTTCGGGTCTACTGTGTGACTGGTCTGCCGCACCGGGTATTCAGTCCACTTGGTCCACCCTTAGAGTCTAGCCACATACATCGAGTCTGCAGTGTGGTTGGTCCGCCCGCATCGGGCCTTCAAACCACCTGGTCTATTCTCTGAGTCTATAGTATGACTGGTCCGCCCGTACCGGGCCTTCAGTCGGCCTGGTCCACTCTCCGAGCCTCGGCACGTCTGGTCCACCCTCGTGGGGCCTACAACCTATCCGGACTGCTCGCTGGGCCTTCGGGATATCTGGTCCACCCTGGTTTTGTTGGCCTACAGCATAAAGCAGGACCAGCCTCAACCCAACCCCAGTCAACCAACCATGTGCACATAAACATATAATCATATAACAATTCATCACTAATCAACCGATCTAGCAGATCACATACATAACACACTCTAACTGGGATATCGACCTAATCGATCACTAACATAGCATCATCCTATATACCAGGATTCCGACCTTAACCAGGTCTCTAACATTTACCATCGTAACTACTAGTATGCAAACACCGGATCTACAAACTCCGGTATGCCTTTTCCTGCACTTCCCACAAGTGCGGCTGCTCTGATCTCCCAACTTAGAATCAACGGTCTTGGACTGTTTTGGCACCGGCTGTGACTGCGCCGGGGCCCGCCTCTTCTCTCTCAACTGTCTAATATCCCTCTCGAGCATACTCAAATATCGGGACATCTGAGCCTGTTCCGAAGCAAACTCAGGGAAAAACATCGCCCTCTCAGCGAACATCCTGGTGATCTCCGTCACTGACTCTGAACCCTGCTTCAATTCCAAGAACTCTTGAGCCAACCTCTCTCTCTCTCTCTCTCTCTCTCTCAACCCTCGGAACATATCGAGTATCGAACATCTCCTGTAACTGATCCCATGTAACCGCAGCCCGCTGCGCATCAGAATAAGATCCTGTAGTCAACCTCCACCAATCCTTTGCCCCGAGCCTCAACAAGTTCAGAGCACACCTCACCCTCTGATTGGTAAGGCATGAACATGTGAAGAAACAACCCTCCACATCCGACAACCACCTCATAGAAACGATCGGATCCTGAGCTCCATCGAAAGTAGGGGGCTTCGTATTATCGAAGTCTCGATACTGAAAAACTCTACCGGCTCCTCCTCCTACCGGTGCTACAGCTGTTGTAGCCGCTGCGGTAGCTGTCTCTGTAAGAGCTGCATAACGCTCATCAAAGTACTCAACCATGGCGGTGTTGATCGACCCATACAGTTTCGACAACTCAGCCTGGAACATAGCAACCTCATCATGCAGGATCTCACGAATCCTGGCATCCAACTCGTCCGTACTCATCTGTCCAACAACCTCGGGTTGTGCTGACCCATCTTGGGCACCCTCTCCTGCTCCTGATCCCGAACCGGATCCTGCCCTGATACGCCTTGTAATTGCCATTCTGCAATACACCATGAGATCCTCAGACTCCTCGCATAACCACCCAGAATGACTCTCTAATCAACCACCCAGGGGTTGTGACTTCCTTGATACGCATAAGGGTCCTGTGCTTTCAGTAGTGCAGGCCCATACTACCTTCTTCACCTACCCATATTTGTCTCAAGTATCATCACAACGCCCCAGGCACTAATGCACATAGCAAGCCTTCTATCCTCACTCCTAGAGGAACATGGAAACTCTCACAAAATGAGACCCTAGGTTAGCAGGCATCACAATCAGGCAACTCTATCATGCACTTCTTGAAGATCCCTAGCCTAACACTAGCATGGTGTTCTAGCATATCACATAAACAAATAACTTGTATGGTAATTTTGGGGTAACTTACTGGCTCCGGTTGATTGTACCCTCTGCTTCCTCTTTTACTTATTTTTAAAAACCATTTTTAATTTCTCTTTGAAAACTCTCCTTGATTTGAGACTGGATTCACACGAATATTCCTTCAATTCAATCAAACCAAGGCTTTGATACCAACTTGTAACATCCAAAAATTTACAACCAATTTTGACATTTAAAAAACAATCCATATTCATTAAGTTATTAAAAAAAGGTTTTCAATTCATTTATTATCAGAGTATTTCCCAGAACCACATCATAAATACATAAAACATGAGGAGCGGTACGATTACGCCTTCGCCTTGCCACGATCTCCTGAAATTCCTGAAACAATACATTGAAAACTGTAAGCCCGAAAGCTTAGTGAGTTAACACCAAAATACCAACAACATATACCATACTCATACCATATCATATCATAAACAGAATAGCCATGCACTTCGGGTCTACTGTGTGACTGGTCCACCCTCCGAGTCTACCTGGTCCACCCTCCGAGTCTAGCCACATACATCGAGTCTGCAATGTGGTTGGTCCACCCGCACCAGGCCTTCAACCCACCTGGTCCACTCTCTGAGTCTACAATATGACTGGTCCGCCCGTACTGAGCCTTCAGTCGGCCTTGTCCACTCTCCGAGCCTCGGCACGTCTGGTCCGCCCTCGTGGGGCCTACAACTTATCCGGACCACTCGCTGGGCCTTCGGGATATCTGGTTCGCCCTAGGTATGTTGGCCTACAGCACAAAGGAGGATCAGCCTCAATCCAACCCCAGTTAACCAACCATGTGCACATAAACATATAATCATATAACAATTCATCACTAATCAACCGATCTAGCAGATCACATACATATCACACTCTAACCGGGATACTGACGTAACCAGTCACTAACATAGCATCATCCTATATACCAGGATTCCGACCTTAACCAGATCTCTAACATTTACCATCCTAACTACCAGGGTGCAAACATATAACAAAGCAATAACATAACAACTACCTGGATTATCATCCGATAAAGGGCTGGCCTTGGTGCCTTAGACCCTATCGATGTAGTGAGGATTGCTCACCTCGTAACTGCTGAATGAAGATATAAGATCACGCTGCTCCAACCTCAGACACGAACTCCACCACTGATCAATACCAAATGACTGAATTCAATAAGTACCCATCTTTACCAAAATACCCTTGGAAGTCAACTGGTCAACTCCTGGTCAAAGTCAAAGTCCTCAGTCAAAGTCAAACTCCCTGACTAACTCTACTCGTCGAG